CAGGCTCCAGCCCACCCCCTCTTCTGCCCCCTCCGCTACACCAGAGCAGCAGAAACAATACACAAAGGGGGGCGGGGGACCACATGGGTAGCAGCAGTCTAGATGGTAGTCGATGTTCCGGCTACTCCAATGGGATAGTTCTTAAAGTGCCCGGATTTTAAGAGCACCCGACAGTGATCGTATTCAGTCAGCAGCAACACACATTGATAAAGTGCTAGGTCTAAAGTGCTCTATTAATAAAGTGCTAGGTCTAAAGTGCTCTATTTAGCGATAATAAAGTGCGGCACAGAGGGACGGGGAAGGGGCGTAAGTGCTGGTGCAATCTAGCAGCAGGCGCCTAAGTGCTCTATTTCGCTCTAATCACATTGGCGATAGATGACAACAGATGACCACCAGGAATGTACTAGTTGGTATTCTACGATTACCCTCTTAAGGGGTGGAATGGTGATAGTTGGCTAAATATTGCTATGACCCCGGTGAGTCTTTAGACGGTTGGTAAGCCAGCGGATAGGCTTCCGGAGATGATAACTCGGGAGGTGGGGCAGCACAGGTGGACAGCCGCACTCTTGCTCATGGAGTGGCCACACAGCCGTGGCCTGGCTAGGACGACGCCCAAATGGCGCCGCCAGCCCCTCAGGGGTCCAGTCAGCTCACCTCGGAGCTTTCTTGCTCCGCAATCTCGCTGTTTCGCCCGGACGGGGCGAACCAGCCGTTCCGTTGGTCACAGCGTGATTCAATCTCCACCGGAACGATGGTGGTCTCTCTCGGAGCAGCGGCTCCCGGCGGCGGCTAGGCCTCTTCGGCGGCGGCGGCAGAAAAGGCCCCTGTAAGAGCCACGATGATCTTCTCCAGGGCGGCCCCAACCGGATCCTGGCCTCTATGCCGGCGGGACGGACTCGCCCGTAGATGGAAGGCGGGGGGCGGACTCGCTCGGAGGTAGAACTGGCCCCGCAACGGTGCAGGCGGGGCGACCCAGCGGCAGCTCAACGACGACGCTCTCCCCACTGGCCGCGGCGGCGGAGGCTAGGCCGCATTCGGCTTCCCCCCCCCGGCAGCCGGCGGCGGCGGCGGTCCGGCGACGGCGGTCCAGCTGCGGCAGCCTGACACCCGGCTTCCCGGCTTCTCCTCCCGTCGGCCGGCAGCTCTCGGCCTCCCTTTTCGGTGGCCGGCAATGGCGATGTTCTGGCGGCGGCGGCCCAATGACGGCCTAGCGCCGACCAGGCAGCACTCGGCCTCCCCTTTCGGCGGCCGGCGGCAGCGATGGTCCAACGGCGGCGGCCCAGCGGCAACCAGGCAGTCCTCGGTCCCTCCTTCAGCGGCCGGCAGTCAGCCGCGACGGTGGTCCGGGGGCCCAACCGCCCAACAATGCTCACCTCACCAGCGGTGGTAGCGGAGGTCAGTGATGGTAGCTGAGGCCCGGCCGCGGCGGCGGTGGTGGTCCGGCCTGCCAGCCAGGCTAGCCAAGCCCCCAGGGTCCCGGCAGCGATGCCGACGATCCCAGGTAGGCCGATGTAGAGTAGGCCGCGATAAAATGGCGGCGGGCGTTTCTTCTCCCTCTCCACATTTACAACCTCAGATATGCAGATGACACCACTTTGATGGCCAAAAGCGAGGAGGAGCTGAGGAGCCTTCTAATCAAGGTGAAAGAAGAAAGTGCAAAAGCTGGGTTGCAGCTAAACATCAAAAAACCCAAGATTATGGCAACAAGAATGATTGACAACTGGGAAATAGAGGGAGAAAACATGGAGGCAGTGACAGACTTTGTATTTCTAGGTGCAAAGATTATTGCAGATGCAGACTGCAGCCAGGAAATCAGGAGATGCTTACTTCTTGGGAGGAGAGCAATGTCCAATCTCGATAAAATAATGAAGAGTAGAGACATCACACTGGCAACGAAGAGCCGCATAGTTAAAGCAATGGTATTCCCCATCGTAAACTACGGATGTGAGAGCTGGACCATAGGGAAGGCTGAGTGAAGGAAGATAGATGCTTTTGAACTGTGGTGTTGGAGGAAAGTTCGGAGAGTGCCTTGGACCGCCAGAAGATCCAACCAGTCCATACTTAAGGAAATAAAGCCCGACTGCTCATTGGAGGGAAGGATATTAGAGGCAAAGATGAAGTACTTTGGCCATACCATGAGAAGACAGGAAAGCTTAGAGAAGACAATGATGCTGGGGAAAATGGAAGGAAAAAGGAAGAGGGGCTGACCAAGGGCAAGATGGATGGATGGCATCCTTGAAGTGACTGGCTTGACTCTGAAGGAACTGGGGGAGGTGGCTGACAGGGAGCTCTGGCGGGAGCTGGGCCAAGAGGTCATGAAGAGTTGGAAACGATTGAACGAATGAACAACAACAACAAATGATGGACGAGAGAGAGGGCTTTCTCGGCGGTGACCCCCTACCTTTGGAACACCCTTCCTGGAGAAATATGACAGGCCCCATTTATTTATTTATTTGTTTGTTTGTTTCGGTTGCTTCTATTCCGCCCTTCTCACCCCGGGAGGGCGGGGGGGGGGGGGGGGGGGGGGGGACTCAGGGCGGCTTACAAAAGCAAGGCACAATTCGATGCCCGCATCACATAACAGCAAAAGACAATAACATCAGTTACAAAACAGCAATTCTAGCAATAACAACAATTAACAGAAAACAAATATTATTATAGGCAAAAACAACCATAAAACCAATAAATGCAATAAAACCAATGCAAACCTCATTGACAGTCAGTGTTTCACAGTCTCATAGTTTAATTCCAATTCCACAATTGTCAGTCCTTTCAGTCCTATCCATCTGGTTTCCATATCTAATTGTCAGGTTGCCCAAAGGCCTGGTCCCACAACCACGTCTTTACCTTCCTCCTGAAGGCAAGGAGGGATGTTGATGCCCTGATTTCCCCCGGGAGTGAGTTCCACAGGTGAGGGGCCACCACTGAGAAGGCCCTGCTCCTCGTCCCCACCAGCCTCACTTGTGATAGCGGTGGGGTCGAGAGCAGGGCCTCCCCAGATGATCTCAGATACCCGGGTGGGACGTAGAGGGAGATACGTTCGGACAGATACACTGGACCGGAACCGTAAAGGGTTTTGTAGGTCAAAACCAACACCCATCCCTCCCCTCGTTTCGTAAGAGCCTGAAGACCTGGTGGTTTAAACAAACCTTTGAGAACGACTAGTTCTAGCTCTGCCCCAGATACTGTTGAAATTGGCCATATCTTTTTCTACCAATTACCCAGGTCACTTTCTTCTATTAGGCCCTGGAAATGTACAGCCATAGACTCTACCTAATTTTCCGGGCCCTCTAAAATCGCACTAGCCCGGCCCAGCCTTTTAAATTGCCTTGAACAGGCAGAATTATTTTAAATATATGTGCTATTGTGGTTTTTAATGCTTATATTGTCTTGTTAATTTTATGTTTATGACGTTTTCTTTGTAAGTATTGATTATGTTACTTAGAAACCGCTCTGAGTCCCCTTGGGGGGATAGAGCAGAATATAAATAAAGTGTTGTTGTTGTTGTTGGGGTTCCTCTTCCTAGTTGTGCAATATACACAGATAATAAGTCTTTCCATATTGTGAAAGTCATACTTCCAATGGGTTTACAATCAGCCTTCAGTGTTCACTAATTCTGTATCTAAGGATTCAGCCTTCCATGGTTTGAAACCCCCCTCCCCATATCCCTAACACAAGTCTTGATTTGCTATTTTATATAAGGAACTCCATTTTATTAGATAATTGTATATAATGGGATATGAACATCCACAGATTTTTGGGATATGAACATCCATATGAACATCCACAGATTTTTGGAATCGTGGAACCAAACCCCAGTGGATACCAAGGGCCCACTGCACCACTTTTCTCAGTCATCTAAAAGTTAGGTGAAACTAGGGCACCTTCTACACTGCCATATAAAATCCAGATTATCTGCATTGAACTGGATTATATGGCAGTGGAGACTCAGATAATCTGAAGAAGAGAAGGCTGAGAGGAGACATGATGGCCGTATATAAATATGTGAGGAGAAGTCATAGGAGAAAGAAGCAATCTTGTTTTCTGCTTCCCTGATGACTAGGATGTGGGACAATGGCTTCAAACGACAAGAAAGGAGATTCCACCTGAATATTAGGAAGAACTTCCTGACTATGAGAGCTGTTCAGTAATGGAACTCTCTGCCCTGGAGTGTGGTGGAGGCTCCTTCTTTGGAGGCTTTTAATTAGAGGCTGAATGGCCATCTGTCAGGGGTGCTTTGAATGTGATTTTCCTGCTTCTTGGCAGGGGGTTGGACTGGATGGCCCATGAGGTCTCTTCCAACTCTATGAATCTATAATCCAATTCAAAGCAGATAATTTGTATTGTTTTCTTTGATAATCTGGATTATTTGGCTGTGTGGACGGGACCTAAGGCTGTGTGTGTTATTGTCTACTTATGAGTTATATTAATTGTATTGTTATTTTGTTTATTCCTTGTTATTTTATTATTGCTTGTTGTTTTGATATGTTGTATGGCTTGGTCTCATGTAAGCCACTTCGAGTCCCTTGGGGAGAGGGTGGCAGGGTATAAATAAAGATTATTATTATTATTATTATTATTATTATTATTATTATTATTATATACATTGCCCTGTATCTCAGGAGCTGATTCCAGATTATCTCATTTGAACTGGATTATATGAGTCCACACTGCCAAATAAACTGGGATAAGCAGATAACCTGGGATCAGATCCTAGGATATAGAGCAGTGTAGATCCAGCCTAATGGAAGGGTGGGCAGTCTCTACTAACAAGTGTGAAATTAAGAGAATATTTTAGAGTTGCACCTCTAAGTGTATACCTTAGCATAGGTAGTTCATCCAGCTTTTCTGTAATAAATAAAACTGTGATCAAGGTATAGACTACTTCATCAAATATTACAGGAATTTACATATTTGATAACCACCTTTCAGCATTGTTTGTTGTTCAGGCATTTTACAAACTAGTAAAATAACTACTTTTTTTCTTTTTATGCTTTTAGATGCCATTCCTGATTTGTCATCTAACATAACTACATTAAAATTGTCGCAGAATAATTTTTCAGACATTCCAGAAGCAATTCTCCTTCTTCCACAGTACGTTTCGGCATGTCTATGTATCTATAGCATTTGTTTGGAAAACTTATGCACAGCTTTCTGGTTCTCGTACTAAATACCAAAAATCATTCCAGACACAAAAGCAAGACTCAGACCCCATCTGTGCTGCCATATAATCCAGTATCTGATCCCAGAGTAACTGCTTTGAACTAGATTATATGGCAGTGTAGACTCATATAATCCAGTTCAAAGCAGATAATCTGGGATCAGATCCTGAGATATAGGACAGGGTAGATCCAGCCTTAAACTCTGGAAACACAGTATACAGTTATTCTCCCACGCATCAGTATTGTGCGATACGGTTTTCCAATCTATATAAATAAAAATGTAATGTTCATTTGTGGGATTAACATAACTCAAAAGCCACTGGACAAATTGACACCAGATTTGGACACAATACACCTATCAGGCCAACAAGTGACCATCACTCATAAAAACACTGAAAAACACAGTGGAAGAGACTTAAAAGACCAAAAAAATACATTATAAAGCATGCACAAAACCATACACATACATATACGCAAATATGTACACACACATATACACCTATATACAAACACAAAACACATACGCACAGACTGGGCCACAGCAATACGTGGCAGGGGACGGCTAGATCCTTTAGATCAGCAGTTCTCAACCTGGGGGTCACAACCCCTGGGGGGGTTGTTTGGCCATTTTCTGGGGGTTGCGAAGATGCCTTGGCTGCCCCCCCCTCTAAAATGGTTGCTGACCCCCTGAGGCAGCCAAATGGCACTCCTGGCAGGCTCCTCCTCCTACTCTTCCCACAGACCTGTGGATAGTCAGGAGGAGGAGCTTTGGAGGCAAAGGCACGGAGGAAGAAGACTCAACCTCTGTTCAGAGGCCTGCAAGGTGAGTAAACTTCTTCCTGCTGTCCTCAATGCCTGGCCATCCATGAAGCCTTTACCGCCAGGCCTTTGCCTCCTTCCGAGCTCAGAAGGGGTCGGGGTCGGATGGAGGGAGTTCTCGGTGCCACGTTTGAGTCCATTCCATGGTTGCATGAGTTCAGAATGCTTTTGGATGGGAGGGAACTATATATCCCAGCAACTCCCAATTGTCAGGAAAATAACCCCAAACTCTCCAGTAATTTCTGTTGGTTATGGATGTTCTGTATGCCAAGCTTCTTCAATTCCATTTTTGTTGGATTTCAGAATGCTCTCTGATGGCAGAGGAACTATGTATCCCAGCAACTGCAACTCCCAAATGTCAAGATCCATTTCCCCCAAACTCCACCATTGTTCAAATTTGGGCATATTGAGTATTCATGCCAAGTTTAGTCCAGATCCATAGTCATTTGGGTTCACAGTGCTTTCCAGATGTAGTTGAACTACATCTCCCATAAATCATTGTCAGTTTCTCCCAAACTTCTCCAGTATTTTCTGTTGGTCATGGGAGTTCTGTGTGCCAAGTTTGGTCCAGGTCTGTAATTTGTGGGGGATCTCAGTGGTCTGTGGAAGTCAGAGCTGAATTGGCTGAAGGTACTGCAAATCCCATCATCCATTGTCCATACTCCCTCAAACATAATGTTTTGTGATTAATCACTATGCTTTAATTATGTTCAATTTGTAACAATGAAAATACATCCTGCACATTAGATATTTGCATTAGAATTCATAAGAGTAGCAAAATTATTTATGAAGTAGCAACAAAAATATGGTTGGGGTCACCACAACACGATGAACTTTATTTAGGGGTCACCGCATTAGAAAGGTTGAGAACCACTGCTTTAGATAGTTTGTATTTGACTTTGCATTCTAAGTGTCCAATTTAGCATCATTATGTAGCAGTTATATTAATGTTTCTTTCTTTTTCCTCCATTAGTTTACGCTCAGTGGATTTAAGTAACAATAAGATAGTAAGTTTACCTGGACCTTTGCACTGGAAATCTTCTAATTTAAGAGAGGTGCTACTGAACCACAATCAAATAAGTATTTTAGACTTAAATGAAAAACCTTTGTCATGGTCTCGACTTGAGAAGCTACATCTGTCTAACAACAAGTTAAAAGAGGTGATGTACAATTTTAACTCAATTTGGTGGTGCCTGGAAATGGTATTTTGACTTTACCGTATTATAGTTAGAAAAAAAGTATTCTCCATAAGGCCTGAATGTATATTTTGGCTTGGATTCTACTGTGTTGCATGCATTGTATGTTTACCTTCCCTTGCAACTCTTCAGCATCGTCAATTAATTTGTGCTTCCTTTTTTCTATCTGCCACTGGATCTACTTTGCCCTATATCCCAGGATCTGATCCCAGATTATCTGCTTTGAACTGGATTATATGAGTCCCTGTCTATACTGCCACATAAAATCCAGATTATCTGATTTTAATTGGATTATATGGTAGTGTAAATGCATATAATCCAGTTCAAAGCAGATAATCTGGATTATTTGATTTAATAATCTGGATTATCTGGCAGTGTAGATCCAGCCTGAGTATACACTGACAGATAAACTGAGATAAGCAGATAATCTATGACCAAATTTGGGAATATAGGGCAGCGTATCTCCAGCCTGCATCATCCAAAACCCAACTCTGATGGCTTCCCCAACCACCTGGAGCAAATATTTAGAGTCCTCTGAGCTTGACTTTTTGAAGGAATTTCTGTCAGTACTGGAGCTGCTTCTCTTACTATTGGATCATGGCTTCTTTACACTACAAGATCTTGTCTATTTCCTTTATAGCTTCTCTTTCAAGCCCTAGTCTTTTCTGATTTCTTAACAGCAGTCTCCATTCTGAAGAATGATTGAGTCAAGGTATGGAAAATCTTTGACTATTTCAATACCTTTATCACTCACTTCACAATTGTGTAAACCATCCGCCGTCATTATTTTTATTTTCATATGTTTTCTGTAATCATTACTTTGTACGTTGTTCCTTAACCTCCTGCAGTTATTGTTTGAAGTCTTCTTTTTTCTGCTAGCAGTATGGTGTTCTAGGCATGTCTTAAGTTGCTTTCATTCTCACACCTCCTTCTGAGTCTGTTCCTGTGTTACGTATGATTGCCTATGATTTTTAAAAATCCTGTTTCAGTGTGTGACTCCAGAATATAATATTTCTATTTCTTCTTCCAGTTGTGTAGTTGGAGCGTAAACTTAGACTGACCAACACACGTTTTGGTACCTCAAATGTTAGACCCTTTCCAGTCGTGTACAAAGTCTAAAACATATTGGGGGAAAATCCATAAAATGCTGCAGGAAATATTAAATATAAGAATCCCATTCAAACCGGAGATATTTCTACTAGGGATAAGAGATCAAAAATTGGGGAAAAAATACAGACAAACTCCTCTTCTTACTGAACACTGCAGCAAGAATTTTCTACGCAAAATTATGGAAAAAACAAGAGATTCCAGAAGTTAGCAACTGGATAGAAAAAATGGTAGATATTAAAAATATGGACAGGTTAACATATATAATAACAAAAAATAAAGGGACCCCAATAAAAGAAACCGACTGGACAAAAGTGACAAATTATTTGAAACAAAAATATGGAAATGTAATAATATAAAAGGAAGAGAAAACAAGAGAGAAGAAAAGATAAGACAAAAAAGAGGAAAAACCACTTGGAAGATACTCAGGAAGTCAACAAAGGAGATACACAACATTCTGCTCCTGATTTTTTTTAACCACCTATCTGTTTTCTTTCTTCTATCTTCTCTTTTTCGTTCTTTTTTTTTTTGTTTCTCTGCCTCTTTCTCTTTTTTTCTTCTTTCTTACATACTATGACTTTTTGTATTTTTTGACACTTTGTATTTTAAAGAAAAGAAAACTTTCAATAAAGATTATTAAAAAAATGTTAGATCCTTTCCGGTCTATTTGGAGGTGTGATTTTCTCCATGTTAAAAATGCTTGCTTCTTTTTCTTGATTGCATTTGTCCACTTGCACTCTACCACCAGGTTTGTTTGTCAATGTACTGACATCCTGGCTTTGTCTTTCCCACAGTTGTTTTAGCAGTCAGGTGGATTTGGTTTACAGCATTCTTCCACATTTTATCTTCTGACTGGTCAGAGTTTACTTCGAAGTTTTTCAGCTAGGCTCCCTGAGTTGTCTTTTAGTTTCCACCATTTGAATTTTGCTTGCCCAGTTTTAGGTTTTTTTCTTCTCTTGCTTCAAATGGCTCATTTGAATGTCCAGAATGAGTAGCCTATGCTGCGGAGCTATGTTTTCTTCAGATGGAACAACTTTTGAGTCTTTAAGGAGTTTCAAAACAATTCTTCTCACCATCCAATAGTCAACTTGGGTCAAGTGGCCACCCCTGGTTTATGTAACTAGCTAGTAGGCATGGTTACATCCAGTCGGAATCTTCGTAATTTGGAATAAATTCAGAAAAATTACCTTTTTGAAGCTATTTTGAACTTTTTTTAGGAAACCGGAAATTCCCTTTGTCCTTCCGAAGCTAGTCTCATTATTTTTCTTCCGATTCAGGAAGTGTGATTCTGGTCCCTGGCCTAGGCTCAAGCCAGAGAAACCAGTTTTAAACCGGGGAAGGCTGAATTTCCTCCTATTGCTTTCCCCGCTTCTGCCTCAAGCCAGAGAAGCCAGTTTTAACCGGGGAAGGCTGAATTTCCTCCTATTGCTTTCCCTGCTTCTGCCTCAAGCCAGAGAAGCCAGTTTTAAACTGGGGAAGGCTGAATATTCTCCCTTTGCTTTCCCCTCTTCTGCCTCAAGCCAGAGAAGACAGTTTTAAACCGGAGAAAGAAGGAATTTCCTCCGCTTGCTTTTCCTCGCTCCTGGACTAAAACAACTACTTTCAAAATAAAGACCACCCAATGAAACGGGAAATAACACCTTCAAACCATTAACAAAAGGATTGATCCAGAATTCATCTTTTTCAGTATCAGTGCAGCCAGGCTGTGGTGCATTGCATGAGATGATACGGATTGTCTTGTTGTCGGATAATATTTTCATAGTCATGATATGATCATTCAATCTGTTGAATTCATTGACTTTGTTGTGTTCATCTTCACCGTTCGGTTGATATTCTTAATCCTGCACAGATTTATTTTTTAAGATAACGTAATATTGTTTTCAAATGCCTTATTTTTCTCTCTCTCCAGATTCCCCCTCAGATTGGGTTTCTTGATAACCTGACGTCTTTTGATGTCAGTCACAATCCTGAGTTAAGATGTTTCCCTGATGAAATGGGGAAGTTGTCCAAAATATGGGACCTGCCTTTGGAAGGGTTACAGCTAAATTTGGATTTCAAACATGTTGGATGGAAAGCAAGGGACATTATAAGGTTTGTTTCCTATCAATTGTCATAATTGTGTATGTTGACTGTTACTGTGACTGTTTACAACAGGGATGAGAAACCACTGATTCTGCAAATGCTCTTGAGCGGTGATTGGCATCACTCTGACCATTGGCTATATTACCCAAGGCTTTAGATTTTGAAATCAAACAGCACCTGGAAGACTACAGTTCTTTGCCCCTAGTTAATAAAGATGGAAAATCTATATCAAGGGTTTCCTTATCACATTACAGTGGCCCTCTAGATTCATGGGGTTTGGTTTTTGAATTCTGCATGGATGCCAAGAAAACATGATCAATCCCATATTACACTATGAAACAATTTTTTAAAAGAATTCTGTTCCAGGTTTGAAAGTGGTATTTCCTGTTTAATTGTGTGGTAATTACTTTGAAAGTAGTTGTTATATTCCAGAAACCTAATTTCTTGTGGCTGCCACAAACTATATTGGTTGAGACTCTATCAGATATTTATTAAAAACTATAGCAAAACGTACTGCAGATGTCCTGCAAAAACAAAGTTTTTGCAGTTTAATAAATTTTTCCATGTTTCTTATTCTAGAACCAACTGGGAAATTACATTTATAACCCAGGAACAAAAATTGTGTTACACAGTATTATTATGTGGTGATGATGTACACATAGACAGACACATAAGCGTGTCAGTGTTCACATCGCTGACATTTTATGTATAGGTGTTTCAATCCATATTTGGTGGAAACGGCTGCTCTGTGGCATGTGGGGAATCCACGATATCTTTAATTATAAATTACTTAATATGTGGTTAAAGAAGAATGGTTTCAGAAATTACAGGTAGGTGACAAGATGGGACCTTGTACCAAAGGGCAACATGCTATACTTTCATTCATTCTTCCAGTTACCTGGATTTAATGTTAATTTATTTTAGGATTTTTGTAACTATGTAAAAATATTTGACATCTCCACTGTTGTTTATGGATATATGAACTCAAAGTCATTTAGATCATTTTGTATCTGAGCCTTGCTTTCATATCTATTTGTCTCTTTAAAAATCATAATTATTGCAAAAATGATGCAGTTTTGTTCATGATTGTAATATGTAGCTTTATTCCAAATGTTTTTGGGTGATTTTGTATGGATGTCTGCAATCAAAATAAATCATGTGCCTATTTATTGTATTTCGTGGATTGGTTTATGACGAGAAGATGAGAGAAATGGGAAGGTAACAAATTTTAGTCAACTTCATCTGATCTTCCCACAAAATTCTGGGTAATTCTGGGTAATTGAATCTGGGTAATCCTTTAATGGAGCAGTGGGTTAAACTGCTGAGTTGTGGAACTTGTTGACCAAAAGGTCAGTCCAGGGAGTGGGGTGAGCTCCGGCTGTTAGCCCCAGCTTATGCCAACCTAGCAGTTTGAAAATATGCAAATTTGAGCAGATCAATAGGTACCACTTATGTGGAAAGGTAACGGCACTCCATGCAATCATGCCGGCCACATGACCTTGGAGGCATCTACTGACAGTGCCAGCTCTTCAGCTTAGAAATGGAGATGACCACCAACCCCCAGAGTCGGACATGACTGGATTTAATGTCAAAGGGAAATCTTTACCTTAATTATTTAATAGATATGGTGTCATCATCTGAGCATAGGATTATTACTTTGGATATCATGGTTTGAGTCTCTTCTTGGCCATGGAAACCCACTTAGTGACCTTAGGCAAATCCTACTCTCTCAGCCTTAGAGGAAGGCAAAGGGAATCCACCTCTGAACAAATTTTGCCAGGAAAAGCCTCCAATATAGCCGCCTTAGGGTCACCATGTTGAAAAGGACTTGAAGGCACACAGCAGCAGCATCCAATAATTTCTTATGGAAACATACTTTTAAATAAGAATTATTTTGTTTTATCAGTAATGATTTTTTACAAGACCTCACCCCCCCTATATTTCAGGTTTCTTCAACAGCGCTTAAAAAAAGCTGTCCCTTATAACCGGATGAAGCTCATGCTCGTTGGAAATACTGGCAGTGGTAAAACGACACTGTTACAACAGCTGATGAAATGCAGGAGACCAGACCTGGGACTCCAGAATGCTACAATTGGAATTGATGTGAATGACTGGAAAATTCCAGTGAAGGGCAAAGTGAAAAAAGATGTTGTATTAAATGTCTGGGACTTTGCAGGTATTTTGTCGTATTTACCCTTGACTTGAGGCCAAGACTAGCCAGGATTATGCATGTTGGGTAAATGGGAACATAGCCAGTTTTCCATCAAATGTATACATCCCTCTTTAAAACCCATGTTTTTAAGATGCTTTAAAGATTCTATGGGCATACTTCAAAATGGTTGTTTCCTTGGATTTGATATTAATTCATTACTAATGGCTAGATAGTTCAATGTGCCATTTTGGGGCTGTCTCGGACTCTAGATACACAGGGCTTGTGGTCAATTGATGTTGAGTACAGTAAATAGTGGTGATCCTGGAGAGATTTGAACACATATAGTGAAAAAGCACTGGTAATCTTAGTTGGTGAGATGCTGTGCGTATGTTAGTAATCATGGATAATGAATTACCAACTCAAATAATAGTCAAGTTCCAAAGAGTAAGTGTGTATGGACACACATACACACACCCCTAGCTAGGTACTCACTATCTCTTCTTGCTGCTTGAGATGCAAGCCAATTTGCAATATTTAAAAGTGTCTCTAGAAAAAAATGGAGATGTTCTCTGGATTTTTCTGATATATTCGTAAGGATAAGGTAACAAAGTTTAGATTGTTTTTAGCAATATCACCCAAAGGATTCAGGAGTTTGGTTTGAGTGACAATGGGAAGAATGTTATGAGTAAGGTAATTATCCAGTTTTGTACCTTTATTTTTTGCCTCCATCCTAAAAAAACAATGTGTGAAAAGAACTGAAGATTACACAAATTATCAGTACAGTAATGATACTTGATTGTAGTTTTCTGTTCCTAGAAGAGGAGGAAAGCAAGTCAATAATAATAATATCTGTCGTTGTTTAGGCCAGGAGGAATTCTACAGTGCTCATCCTCACTTTATGACTCAGAGAGCTCTATACCTTGCTGTTTATGATCTTAGCAAAGGAGAGGCTGAAGTGGATGCTATGAAGCCATGGTTGTTTAATATCAAGGTAACGTAATCACCTTGAAATATGCAGAATATGTCAGTTTATGATCTATCGTAATTTTTATGAAAAATATTTGGTCGGTGGTTTGGACCTTGAGAAAATAGATAAAAAATGAATGGGGATAATGACCATCTTGGCAGAATAATCTCTCTCAAATACCGTAATTCATTGCATAATAGTTGTCAACGTGTAATAGATGCACCCCCATTTTTGGTGTGGCAAAATTGGCATTTTTGTGTTCCTCACATAATAGTTGCAGAGCCATTTGGGCCTGATTCCCCCTTACTTCCTTCTCTCTCCGAAGGCAAGTGTTGCACCTCAGAGTAGATTCACCTTGCTGAAAAAACGCCAAACAGCACACAGCCAGAGGTCTTTTTGTATATTAAAAATAAAATATAAAATGTTCTTAAAGGCAAAGGTTAATGTTCCAAAAGATCAACTTAATATAGCACTTTGAAGTTTAATCTAAAAAGGCACCAGCAAAGCAAAAACCCAAGAGAACATGACAAAGTCTTGAAACCATGAACACAAGAACTGTAAGGTAATCCAGGCAAGCAAAGGCAAGCTTCTTAGTTAAACGAAAAGTTGCTTTGACAAAGGTTTGGTCTCAAACACACTGCTTAATACCCTTTGCAAAACATGAAGGCATTTCTTTTGCCTCTGGCCTCCCTCTTGTTAGCTGTTCTCACACTCCTTCGAATTCAGAATTCCAAACGGTCAGTCCGATCTGAGGTTCCCATTTCGTCAAGGTCAGTCCGTTAATGTCAGCCTGTTTCCCTGCTTGTTCATTATCAGGCTGAGAACTGTCCTCCTTCTCTGAGTCAATCTCCAAGCTGAATACTGTTCTCATTTTTGCTTTGCAGGCCCGAGCATCATCATCACCTGTGATCCTCATTGGTACTCATTTAGACATCTCTAATGAGAAACAACGTAAAGCATGTGTCAGTAAAATTACAAAAGAACTAATGAACCAGAGAGGGTTTCCAGCAATCCAAGATTATCACTTTGTGAATGCTACAGAAGAATCCGATGCTATGGCCAAACTTCGAAAAACCATCATAAAAGAGAGTCTGAATTTCAAAGTAAGCCATGTTATTTGTGGAATTAATTTGTTTTATATTCAACTTCTGTCCCAAGAACTGGAATGAAGATTACTTACAATTAAATCACTACTGCATTGTGTTTATTTCCTGTAGATATGAGAACTTTATGGAGAGATTATTTTTCCAGGCATTTATTCAAATTTTTTCTTGTTTAGAGAAGGTATGGCACCTGGTGCCTAAACATAGTATTGTGGGCTAACGAGATTTAAATTAATTAAATTAATTAGTAATTATTAACTCATTTAAAAATTCTAGGAGTCAGAGAACCTAAAGGCACTTTAATATATATGCCAAGTATCTAGGTCCGATGTTCTTAGAGATTTGCCATATAGTGGGATATATATATACAGGCAGTCCTAGAGTTACAAACAAGAAAGATTCTGTCGGTTTGTTTTTGAGTTGAATTTGTATGTAAGTCAAAATAGGTACATTTTTAAGTGTAACTTCAGCCATATAGATATGTCCATGCATTGGATAGCATAGGGAAGTGTTAACCCTATGGTGTTCGTTTTACTATCTGTGACCCTGTTCAGAAGATTTCATCTCACTTTATATCCTTGTGATAATTTGGTTTTGAAAAATGTGGGCTATTGAGAAAACAAGTATTGGTGAGAAAGCTTCAGTGGAGACACCTTTTCCCCATGACAACTCTTTCAGGAGTGAAATTCCCTTCCGGGGAATAGATTTCTCCCTCTTGTCTCAACCCGTTCTTAACTATCAGTCATTTGTTTCTAAGTCAGAGACTGCCTGCATAGCAATTCTTGGAGAACTTTCTGACTTAGTTGTGGTTCATTTTATAAATAGGAGCTGCAAACATTTGAGAAATTGCCCAAGATAACTTTATGAGGATCATTTTATCCTAGTCTTCCAAGGATAAAATGATCCTTGGATCATTTTACATGCTGCATCACATGGATGATCTGACAAATCTGTAAAATTACATTTTAGAAGGTTATACGTTCCACCTCATAGTTTTAGATCCACCGGGGAGGCCCTGCTCTCGGTCCCACCGGCCTCGCAAACGCATCTGGTGGGGACGAGGGACAGGGTCTTCCCAGTGGTGACCCCCTGCTTGTGAAATTCACTCCCCAGTGAGATTAGATTGGCGACCTCCCTCCATTCCTTTAGGAAAAAAATTGAAATTGTGGTTTGGACCAGGCTTTTGGCTAGCAGGCACAGCGGCACTTTGGACACTGAACTGGACCATGATTTTTATGATAATGGAAATGGCTATATAATATATTAATGTTATTGTTTTTAATCTATTGCATATTTATAGTTTTATATTGTTGTTATATTGATATTGCAGCATCAAATTGTTGCCAATGTCAGCCGCTCTGAGTCCCCCCGCTCTGAGTTTGAGAAGGGCGGGGTAGAAATGTTGTAAATAAAGAAATAAAATAAATTATATTTTTGCATCTTTAAGCTTTGTTCAGATTTGCATCAGGACTCAAACTGTACTCCAGATTTTAAGGGAAATCATTTCTTTTTCTGGGCATACTGTTTGATTTTTCACTGAGGCATTTTAGAGAGCCTGATCAAAATCTGTGTTGTACAGATCAGAGACCAGCCTGTTGTTGGGCAGTTAATTCCAGACAGCTATTTGGAACTTGAGAAGAGAATTTTAGAGGAACGCACACATGTTCCAGTTGAATTTCCCGTGATTGATCAGAAGCGATTATTTGAATTGGTGCAAGAAAACAAGCTGCAGTTGGATGAAAATGAACTCCCTCATGCTGTTCACTTTCTGAATGAATCAGGTAACAAACATGTTCAAAGAATTTTGTGCCTTTGACAGTCAGTCAGTTTCACAGCATAGGTTCACACTTGCATTTTAAGTTCTGAACTATTGAAACAGTTACTTCAGTTCGTATAGTGAAGATCTACTTTTCAAAACTTCCTTGCTCATTACACAGTGGGGTCCTGTGTTGCCTTAAAGCAAGGATAGCCAACCTTACAATAATGGGGGTCCATTTGTTGAACCTCCCCGCAGGCTCCTTCCTCACAGTTGAATAAAATCCCACATTATCGGAGTTGAACTGGAATATATGGTAGTGTGGACTCTGATAACCCAGTTCAAAGCAGGTATTGTGGGATTTTCTGCCTCGATATTCTGGTTCATATGGCTGTGTGGAAGGGGAAGGGGAAGGAGCACTGCTCCATCTTCTTGGAAAACACTCCCTTCCCTTTACGGCCCAGACCAGCTGCTTCATCTTCCTCTGAATCGCTGGGCCAGCAAACATCCATGTCTGCAGTTCTCCCTGCACTTGACACCTTCAGGTTAAAGGGAAGAGGAAGAACTACATGTGCAGAGTTACTATACAGTCCATGCATCTCCATAACAGCCGGCATCACTGGAAAGGTGGAATTGCCTTACGAGTGTGTATGGGGAAGGTCGCTGTGGATACCGGTTCTGATGTTACGGATAGTGGCTACAACAACGCCAGGCTCCGTGGTTGGCCTGGGTCAATTACATCTGGCAAGTAAACTTTCTTTTTTCCCCAATTCATTTATTGCATCTGTTCTGGTACGGCTGTACCAGGAGCTCCAATTTTATTTGCTTTGTATTAAGTGTTTGCTTGCAGTCCAAGGTTTCAGAGTCTCCAGAAAGGTGGCTTCTTTTGGTTGCAGTCATAGGGCAAGTCACCTGTCCATCATCGTTAAGTTTTAGTTCCGCCCCTTGCTCAGGGCAATTGGGAAGGGAAGGGAGCCATTTTTAGTTAGTCTCAGCAAGGAAAGCTAATGTATAGGACGTGTGCAAGCTTCCCCTGTACAAAAGCTTCAACCTTTAAGAATTTCCAGGAAAACAGCCCTAAAGACCAAAGAACTCCAGCTGGAGAACATCTAAGCCTTTACTGGTAGGTCCACTCGGCATTCAAGAGGCAGTTCGACCCGGTAGTGGAGCCCACATCAGTAAAGGTTAGATTACAGTCAGCCTGGGAGAAGTTAAAAAGGGGATTTTCCTTTAAAGAAGAAGTTATTGAAGACAGTTGCCTGTCCTTCGTGGGCAAGATTAGGAATTCACCAGTTGCCTAAAAGCTTGGAATCATTTGCTTAACTTTACTGAAGACAAGAGAAGTTTCTGTTTGATTGTTCATTAATAAAGAACTTTGTTATACTTCACAAGCCATCTAAAGGTCATTTGTGGTGGAAACCCTCTGAGAACTTCTCCTTGGGCCCCCTGGCTTCCTGCTGGGCAAAGGTTGCACGTCCTGTTCTAAAGATAATTCTTTATAGGCCCAGCGCGCGACAGAACAGACAGCATGTCATGTTTCTATCAGAATGGAAGAAAGGTGGACTGAATTTGGGAGGCACATCTTTAGTTGTAACAGAGAAAAATAGTAATAGAAGTGTGACCATGAAACATAGATACTCACCTGGTAATCATCAGATTAGCTAAAAGCAATTCAGAACATAACATAATAAAATTATACTCTTGTCAAAGGCAGTTTTATAATATATAATTGCAATGTCATAACTAAGCCAAGCCATTTTCTTTGTATGCCACGTGTTAATTGAATGACTTTCCACTCAGGTGTTCTGCTGCATTTTCAAGATCCAGCGCTTCAGCTCAGAGACTTATATTTTGTTGACCCTAAGTGGCTTTGTAAAATCATGGCACAGGTAAAATTGAGATGTTTTCTAGAACTCATGCCCTTTCAGCTCAGTTTCTCTTTGTTTTCCCTCTAGATGTTTAACTAAATTTTGTAACCATACGTAATTTCATAACAATCTCTTACCTTGCTATCAACAATATTGGAAGGAAGGAAGGAAATGAAAGGCAGGCTCCATACACCTTAAAGGTCTCAATCTTGACATAACTGTGTTTGCTACATTCCATATTTTTGTGCTCATTTCCAAGTGCAGCTCCCGCCCTCAATGGAGCCATGTTTGCCAACACACTTGCTCCACTCATTGAAATTGCTAAGCAAGTCTGTGTCCTGATTCTCAGTGGTTACAGTGTTTATTTTCAGTCCATACTACGTAATATAGGCAGGACAGCATCATTAAGATAGTGGTATCAACAAGCATCTGCAAACTTCCTTGGCCACTTCTCAGGACTGCTACCAGGTCACTCTTTCCAAGGGCCCTTCTGCATAGCAGAATAAAACCCCACATTTTCTGCTTTGAGCTGGAATATATGGCAGTGTGGACTCAGATAACCCAGTTCAAAGAAGATGTTGATGCACATTTTTCAGCTGATCTCTGATTTTAAGCCCAACTTTTAAAGTCATGTTTTTCATCCGATTATGTGATTTAGTGCACATTTTCAGCACCCTTTATCCCAGTTTCTCTCAGATTTTAGGACCTGTGTAGAAGGGCCCTAACATTTCCTTGCTGAATCAGAATATTCCTCTGCCCATCACTTCTAGCATACATTAAGGTGATGACAGTAAACTGCTGGGGCTAAGACATTTGTTAAGTATGAATTCATTCTAAGTCTTATAAACAGTGTGCCAAATATATCATGCATGTCTTTGAAGTTTCATTGGCTTGAATTATGTATTTTGTGCATTTTTCTTTGTCCCATCAAAGTCTCGCTGCATGGCCAAACCATGAATATGTTTACATCCTGAGGTGGAGCACAAGCAAATGGCAAAACAATTGCTGAGAGCTCAGTTTCTTTTCTATAGATCTTAACAGTGAAGGTTGAAGGCTTCCCTAAGTATCCAAAAGGAATCATAAAGCGTTCTGATGTAGAAAAATTCCTGCTAAAGAAAAGCAAATTTCCTAAGATTTACATGTCGCAGTACTTCAAGCTCCTGGAGAAGTTCCAGATAGCGTTACCATTAGGAGAAGATCAGCTCCTTGTTCCAAGCAGGTAAAACGAAAGACCTGAAAACTTAATGTCAAGGCAGTGCAGTAGAGTCATGAATTGTTTTCTTTCTCAATTTTTGACAATTGTCCTCTCGTCTATCAAAGCAGAGAAGATTGGAGAAAGATTTTGTTTATATATTGTGGCTGATGCTGATTCCTTCTATCAGCTTTGGGGGTGGGTGGGGGGAACAAATGTAGAAAAATTAAAAAATAATTGGTTTTTCCTCCTTAACAGCTTGTCAGATCACCGTCCTGTAATAGAATTGCCCCACTGTGAAAACTCAGAAATTATCATAAGGCTGTATGAGATGCCCTATTTTC